TAAGGAAGTTTGTTTATTAGGTTCCATGCAGTTCCTCCTCATGAGAAATTCATATTTCATTTGTTTCTATTCTTACTTTTTAGTTATTAAGGATTGATTTTGTCAGTCAACACCATGTCCTACTCTATATTATATGGTATAACTAGTGATATTATACATTGCATTGTTTTGACGGGAGAGTTTCAGTTTATATTGCCAATTAAGTAATATCTTAATATTGGACTCCCTTATGCTGGAATCTCATCAATTATATTGACTACTTGTAATATTTAATTGTTTTGATGTGGCATATGGGAAAAATCATGGRTGAATTATCTTATTGTTTGCCTTCAAAATCCCAATGCATGATTTATCTAATKTTGATGAAGGCAATCAGAGTTGTTGAACTTAATTTGAGAGGCACAACTATCAACAATGAATGAAACCTATTAATTCCGTATATTCTATGACTTCTCAAATCTCCTTGATGATGCATTCTAGTGTGTTGGATTTTGAAATAAACTAAAATTTCTTAGTGCTAATTCAAGGTTTATAGCTAACTTCATTTGAAGTAGACTAAAGAAAGCTCCTTCTTTGGAAAGTGTTATATCACTTAGACTTTACATATTAGTTGAGTGAGAAATCCACTCACAATGGGATTGGCTCTGTTATATCCATAGTAGGGGAAATTTTACCATGCTTGATTTCTTGATTTTTTGATCTCTCAATCTCAACTTGGATTATATTCATAGGAGGAAAAAAAGTATCATATGTTTGTAATAAATAGACCATTTTATTCCGAAATAATTTACCATAGGGTTGTGTCAACCATAATGCCTCCTGAACAAATGATGTCTATGAAAGAAATGAATTTGTCTAAAGATTGGATTTTTGTTGTTAAATGATTGGAGCACAGTATTATATTGCAAGTTTCTCTCTATAACATAATCAATGTTTTCTTTCCTTCTCTTCTATGCTTCAACATCTTCTTGAGTTTATGCTTATTGGTGTTGTAATACTTATCTCTCCTTTGCAAAGTTTCTTAGTTGAGGTTATATAGTTCCTTGCATTTGGTTTCCTACAATTGTGGTATTATTCATATTGGTATTCTATCTCTTGCTTCTCTATCATTTTCTCTCTCTAACCTCTTGGAGTTGAGAAGATATTTCATGTGGCATTGTTGATTGTATGTATTTGAAAGTTTATTTGCTACAAAATTTTTGGATTATTTAGGTTGATTTATGGTCATGTTTTTTTGTCATTCCCTYAATGAGCCTGTGCCTATACTACTGAGAAATTGTAGTTAATCAATTGTTGCTCTGTTTGCCTTTAGCATTATGTGAGTGATAGYGTGGGAACAAAGTTGAAGACTCTGCTCGTRTTTATGGGYTTTCCATCGTTTTCCATGGTGCAAGTGTYCTTTGTTATAGTTCCCTCATTTYATATTGACATACTAACATTTATTTGGTTGTCATTAAGTCATCTCARGTTCAACTCTCTTATRCCATGATATTAGTTCATAGATTGTTTAAATTCTTATTTTCTCTATATATGAAGGTTCCCATGTACAAATTTAGCATTATATCAATCAAATTTAACATTGACATTTGAATGGTCAACATGCAGAATTTTTAAATTGTATGATATTCAAGAAGGGGACATCGAAATTGATCAGTCGTGAGTGGAAGCACAACCATCTTCACTTTAAATGCAACTACTTGTCTTTGAGTTGCTAAAAGCATGTATCTACCACTATTGCTTCATTTGGTCCATATGTTTGAAGAGTTTCTTTTAATTTATAATTTGTGGTTGTTACATTGATTATGATTGTTTTATATTGGTACAAAATTCTTTATTATTGTTTAATCGATTTACTTGCTCTTTTATCCAATAATGAAGCCAACTTTTTAAATATAGCTATTTTTTCTTTTTTCATTCCTTGCAACCCTATGGGCACTGACTATGAACCTAATAATCTCCATATGTTTTTCGTCATTCATTCATACCATAACATTTGAATCTTAAATCTTTCTGAATCGGCCTTGTTATATACTATAACTATAGCTAATTTAGCACATTTATCAGATTATTAAGTTCACAAGGCAGACTGAATACTGATTATAGATAGTGTTGTTAGACGAGGAATGTACGTTTTCAATCCTTCTGATATACTAGCTGATTTGTGTTATACTGGTTAAGTATATTTTCTGCTATGTTGCTGAAGTGTAAGGTTCTTTTGTTATTTTAACTGCTTCTGTTCTGTTTGAAACTTTTTTTGGTCATTTTGTTGGTTATTGTATCATATTATTGTGTAAGTATATAAGAGTTTTATGAATACTAATTATTGATACATTCATTACAAGATGATTGTACGTTTACAAACCTTATGATTGTACTGATATTTTGTGCTATGTAATTTAAGAATGTAAAAGAAGCGTAGGCATGTCGTTTATTTTAATCGTGYTTGTTCTGTTGGGATCTTTCTTTGGTCGTTATGTTGGTTGTTTTATCTGATTATTGAGTAARAAGATAAGGAAGATTATTGTACGTTTTCAATCATTGTGATGTTTGTTTAATTATGATATTTTATCCTATATTACTAAAGGATATAGAAGAAGTGTACGTAGGTTGGTTTTTGTTTAATCAATTTTGTTGTGTTGGAATTTGTATTTGCAAAGATTACTATTGTGATAGGCTCCTAGTGTGTTTATTTAATAATGTTTTTGTGTTGGAATCTGTATATACTTTTATTATGGGATGATTGTACGTTTACAAACCTTATGATTGTACTGTATTTTGTGCTATGTAATTTAAGGATGTAGAAAAAGTGTAGGCATGTCGTTTATTTTAATYGCGCTTGCTCTGTTCGGATCTTTGTTTGGTTGTTATGTTGGTTGTTTTATCAGATTATTGAGTAAGTTGATAAGGAAGACTGTGAATGTTGATTATTTGTAGTGTTGTAGAAGATTAATGTACGTTTTCAATCATTGTGATACTTGTTTAATTATGATATTTTATGATATATTACTAAAGGATGTAGAAGAAGTGTACAAGGTTGGTTTTTGTCTAATCAATTTTGTTCTATTAGAATCTGTATTTGCAAAGATTACTATTGTGATAGGCTCCTAGTGCGTTTATTTAAGAATGTTAATTGAATTTTTCTTGTACAATGTGGATATATAGTTATCTTCACGATCTTTTGCACTTTTTAATAGATAGACTCGTTCTTATAGAAGTAATTTTCTTTCCTTATCTATCTTTGGTTATTCATTTATCTAACTTCGGTATTGTTTTTTTCATTAGGTCTTTCACGAACCCAAAAAAGTCGACAATTAGGGATGCAACTAATTGATGGATGAGCTTTCTTGTTGGGGTTGGTGTGTGATTTGTGTTTGTAVGAATTTGAACATGTTTAATATAATGTACTAGCAAGTCCGAGAATATTTCGAGAATATTATATATATTTCAATTTTGTTATCTAAATTAATGTATTTGCRATTTCGATTGACAATTTAATTATATGAGATTTAAATATTACGCGACGTTTGCAATCAAAATTAAATACATATTCAGTGACYCTCTTTTTATCGTCACAAAATAAAATCATTAGTGACGTTTTTAAAMCGTCATCAAAATATTTTTAGGACGATTATCAAACGTCACGGAATAAACTTTTCATGAYGTTTAAACACCGTCACGAAATACACTTTTCGTGACGTTTAAACACCGTCACGAAAGGATGTCACGTGACCTCTCCTCCCATCACTACAACAAATTCGCCTTTTTATGACGGGCATTGCCCGACATTAACAAGTAACCATGTCGGTCAGTGACCGACATCTATTCGAGTGTCCTTGTTTCTTTTTCATGACRGATAGTTTTAATGTYGGGCATTRCCCGTTATGTAAATCTTCTTTTCCATGAYGGGCATGCCCGTCATGGAAAGATAACAATGACKGGCRRTGACCGACATCTTTACGAGTGTCCTTGTTTCGTTTAATTTTGCATGGCGGTTTTTACCCGTCATTGTATGTGCGACATTGTTTGTACGTCATTGTTTGTGTGTCATTGTTTGTGTGTCATTGTTTGTACGTCATTATTTGAGCGTCATTGTTTGTACGTCATTGTATCTACGTCTCGTATGTGCGTCGTGGAATGACTATATTTCATGATAGACATTGACCGTCATTATTTCGTAAATAATTTAATTAAAAAAATAGTTGGTTGCCGAGACGTGGCTAACCAACTATATTTCCTTAAGACCTATGATAATATTTCAATATTGCAATTAAAATTAGCTAATTAATATGCAACTAAAACTCTTAACACGTTCATATATCAAATGCAATATCTATTCTAAATCTTAACTCAGAAACTAGCCTTAGACTCAAAACACACAAATAATAAAAAGTACAAATTTCAACATGACCTCYCTATTTTAGAATATATAACTCAAAACTAACCAACCATATATCTCCTTCCAACCTARTCGCACAAAGTAATATCTCAATATTATTGCAACTCAAAAATTAATATGTAACTAAAACTAACTATTTCAACATCATGATCTATTTGAAAAACTTAACTAAAAAACTAACCTTTAGATTCAAAACACAAACAATAAAAAAAATACAAATTTCAACATGACCTCCCCCACTCTAAAATAGAACTCAAAACTAACCAACCAATATATCTCCTTCGCAGTTATTGACACAAAATAATATCTCAATATTATTGAAACTCTCAAAACATATGCAACTAAAACTAACTTCAACACCATGATCTATTCTAAAAGTACTTAACTCAAAAACTAACCTTAAACTTAAAACACAATTATTTAAGAGTTGATCAAACAAGTACAAATTTCAACATGACRTCTCTACTTTAGAATAACTCAAAATTAACTTGGAAAACAATAATATACTACATTCAGCAACAATCAAACACTTCTATATTAACACCCTTCTACACATAAACAAATGGGACCGCCCGTCCCTCAAACAAAACTACATTCAGCATAACAATCCAAACTTCTATATATTATAAACAAGACCAAGTATTTCAAATCTGCTAAGTACTACTACAGAAAGTAACCCGAACCAAATACTTACATCAAATAAACAAAAGTAATGAATCCATCGGTACTACACAAATCGTCCAACAAATGATGTCCATTCTATTCGAACTTCGTCGATTTCTTCTTGTTTGTAGGCTTTTTTTGTATTAAACTACAAAAAAAGAAAGATAATACTGATTAATATAAGGATAAAGCATATATAAACACATAAAGRTATATGATAATACGTACAAGTTCAGTTATGGGAGTATTAGGATTCCGCACTATTTCTCGTATATACTTTTGCAAATAGTACCCACACTCRATAGAACCTAGTTGCCGAGGACACTACATATAGAAAATTTGAAAAATAACATAGTTATGAGTTAACAAAGGATTTCAATGCAAATTTGAGCATATTTAAAATGTAATCAAATGCAAGTTTACCTTCACATGTTTCCAAATTGTAGTAYTGCGACAATGTTAAATAGAGTGTTGAGCTTGCCACATTTTCAATGATCTAAATAACTTGAAACATTAGAATGGCATAATTATAAAAATTATAACTATAAGAGTTCAAGGCACCTACATGTTTATGATTCTCTTATAATTTTCTTCAATCTTACTTCTTAGAGAGTCCAATACATAAACACAATTCTCTTGAAGATGTATAACAAACAACTTCCAGTGAAAACTATTAATAACCAACATGATAATATTACATTTATGGATGGATAAAAGAAACTATAAATAAGTAAAATCAAGTTAAATTGCTAGCTTACCCGCCGTTATGTGGGATGAGTACTATTTATTCCAAGTTACTCATGTCTAACBTGTTGGCTAGATCTAGAACAAGTTTCTTGAGACATCATTTGTGGTACAATGTTGTCCGGATCAACCACYAAGAACTTATTATGTGTCTTCTCCTCACATTCATTCCAAAGATACCTAAACATATAATTGTAAAACATTAAACTTCATAGTTAGTGAAGTTAAGATATGAAATAGATTTAATATACTTACGCGATGTACGTGAGCACACACATATATCCTATTTCAAKCATCTCGTAGTATTGCATGATGTCATCATGTGTTAAACTAATGATCTTCTCCCTTCCAAATATGTAATCATCGATATTGAATTCAATTATATCCTTATTGTTCATTGAACGCACGACATATTGATTTAGGAGTTTAATAGTCATGTGGACATCAATATGTTCAGATGATTGTGTTCTTGGCTTGGATGTTCGAGGAGAAGRAACCATTGACAAACAAAATTACAAAMAACATTTAACAAACGAAAAGTTAAAACTTCACTCAAACAAGACATACCTTTTTCTCCTCATTTAAAATTACTAGTTGACGAGGCCATGCCACGAAGCTACCAATGRCACWATGAATTGTTGGACTTTGAACGTCATCATCAAATACTGTGCCAACTGCAACAATGTTCTCCATTGATCCAATATCCAGATGACACGGTTTTCCCTTAGAAAATTTAAAAGCAAAATGCTAAATGTTATGAACAAAAAGGCTAAGTGTCGTGTCCAAAAACAGTAAGTGTCAAAACTAAGACAAATTAGTTACCATTGTTGGTTGTTCATCCGGGATAAAAACTTTAGTAGGTGCATTGACAACTTCCTTCCCTTTCTCCCTTTTCTTTGAGACATTACTGACTTTAGTTGTGGATTTTTTTGGTTGTAAGCTCTGAGTCTTYAATTCGGATTGGTCTTGAGGTTGCAATCCCAAATTTTACTTCCTTTTGGCAACATTAAAATATAGGAATGGTGAAACAAACTCACCTAATCCCCTCRCACGRCCTCTATGTTTGRGGGTGCCTAATGCTTCAGTTAAAACATCTTCGCCCTTGTGTATTGTAGCCAACTCATCCTATCACAAATATTTATCATCATATTATCATCTAAACATCCCACTTTCTAAATCTCATTGAAATAAAAAACATAGAAACTTATAATTCGAGCGGCACATTCTTTAGTGGCAACATCAAAGTCTTTTTTGTCATCCACGACTTATCCAGTACTAAATTTATGTAAGTTTAATCTACAAAAAAAAACACAATGGTTAAGCTTGTGTACTTTGTCGGATTCTTAAGAAGCAAGATAGAAATGCTTGAGAAACAAAGGATTGATAAGGTGGGGTGTTTAAAGTGGTACCTAGTAAACATGGAAGGTTATGAAAGAAACAGAGTGTATCAAATTAATTAAATTAGTGAAAAGTTAGGTGAGCATGATGCTTTAACAAAATTCATAAGTTCTCCAACTCTCTCATAGTTACACTCACAATAGTTTTGGGTTTGCTAGCTTACAGTTATTTCCCCGAAAAAAAAAAMATTTCTCTCTTCTTTTTCTTCCATTGGACTTGCTGCCTGTTCTTTCGGTTATTATACATTTCACACCCACAGCCACACTTCAAAAATATGTTGGAGGTTGCCAATTCATTCTTTGAATGATGGGAGTAAAGAAAAGTTTTAATCAGATGAGAATAGAGAATACATTTCACACATTCTTCTTTTTCTTTTTTGTTTAACAACAGCAGYCGTCACGTTACGAGAACCCAAATTTTACTAGTGCACACCCTATCCTTAATACCCTTCTTTCAAAATCCCTCTATAACTCTCTTTCTCTCATTTTTGGAGACGAGGGCAGGGACGGGAAAAATTAAAATCTTGAGAAAAATCCTAAAATTTCTCTTTCCCCCGCCTTATACATCTACCAGCTTCCTCCTTTCTCTTTTTCTTATTGGTGGGTTCACAGCAAAACTAAACCTAACACACAGAAGGAGAGAGACAGTAAAAGAACCATCTTTTCTTATACAACTTTCCCACTTTAGCCAAATCTAAAAGTTTTTTTCTYTCCGTTACCAACAAACAAACAAGATTAWTGGAATGTGTGTRAAATGAGTCTTCTTCTCCCTCCAACAAACAAGATTATCTCATTCCCTTTCCTTCTCTTCCCTTCTCATCTAAACTCAATCCATTTTTTTTTTCATTCGTGAAACAGGGCACAACAGAGAAAGAGAAAAAAACTAGAAGTTATAGATAAAATAACTCAAACTCAAACCAGAAGAAAATGAGAAGTTACCAAACTAGAAGGAGACGAAAATGAGCAAATACTAGGGAAGAGAAGAGAAGGAAGAACAGAACCTTCGATRTTGTTGCCACTGCCTAATATATTCGCTCGTCATCGCCGTCTACCGCCGAATCGTAGCTCACCRCTGACGGCAAATCGCTCCTCACCGTTGGACCGTCRCTCGCGCTGCCGTACGTGGTTCTTCGTTGGCCTTCCCACAGCAATAGAGCTGGGTTCACAACGATGGTAGAGAGAGTTTCACGTGCGGCAAAGGGAGGTGGGAGGCAAAAAAATATCGAGTRTAAAATTTTGCGTGAAATTTTGAAGTTAGGGTTAAAATCACACATTATCCATGTCGGGYCTGGCCCGCCATTAAAACTAAACTTACAATGGCGGGCTAGGCTCGACATGGATACTTTAAAAAATAATAATAAAAAAATTGGCGAATTTTTTACCTTGTCCGACATGGTTTCCTYCGTGTTTTTTTTGTCCGACGTCATTTCCTCCGTGTTTTTTTTGTCCGACATTAAAACCAAGATTTCTTGTASTGCATGTTCAAGGCCTTTCCGTGACATTCTATAACCGTCACAAAATCATTTTTCATGACGGTTTATGAACGTCGTGGAAGTCCATGTCTTTCATGACGCTAATAAACCGTCACGTATGCTTATTTTTGTGATGTTTTTTAAACGTCTCGTATACCTTTCGTGATGGGCGTATACGTGACRGCGTTAAAAATGTCACGAAAGCTTTTTGTGACGTCAAAAAAACGTCACGATAGACCGAATTTCTACTACTGGATCAACCAAACAAACCCAAACTTATTATTATTATTATTATTATTATTATTATTATTTATTAGAATTTATATGAATATATTTCTTTTGATTTTATTTCATCTAATAATCCTATATGGATTATTTATTATCCAACAACTTTCACTAATATAAATAATCATTGACTTACAGATGAGTCAGGAATTTACACCGTAAATCCAGTGGTTTGTAAAGTTTTCTATTATTTATGAATAAAACAATTATTTAATTTTCACTTTGTTAGATACAAATATATATCCATTTTTGTGAAAATCCAACGTTATAAATCCCTATCTATTTTCTCATACGGTTGTAGAACAATTATGCATTCTTAACCAAGGATGACATGGGTCTACCAACTTCCAACTCCCTTGCAATTTTGCAGGGGAGTTTTAATTAAATTAATTATAGTATTAATATTAATAATAATTATATATATATTAAATAAATAATAACGCTTAATTATTTATTATCAAAATAGAATCATATTCTAAAGCATTTCTCTCATATAACCTATAGTTGTAATGTACATCTTATAAGGGGCGGCTCAAGATAATATAGGACSTTAGGCAAAACTTTGATAGGGAGGCCTTAATATAGAAAATATCATATAAAATTTATTTTTCTTATTTTTTGAGATGCAAAATTATGGATTAAATTGTGATAATCTAAGTTCATTAATATATCTYTTTCAATTGACAATATAGCCAATCTATTTAATCTTTCTTGTGCATAGTTGACCTTAAATACSATTGGWTTAATTTTATTTTTGAAAAACTTCTTTCTGCGGAAGCTACGATTATCAGTATTGTTAATAATATTCTATAAGCAATATATGCATTTGGAAAAACGTTTACCATTTTTATATAATTTAATATTTTAATAGGACAATCCATTTCATTTTTCAARACTTCACTTAATATTTTTAATTCAAAAAATAAATCTAAACCGTTAATGTCAGAAAATGTATCACGTTTTAATGTATTTTCAAGATTAATACAATATCTTTTCAGATTATATCATCTAATGACTTTAAAAAATTCATGTCAAATAAGAAATTAAAGATGTTTTCATATACTTGTAATTGTTCAAATCTATTTTTAAGAGAAGAAATTGCTTGATCTCTAGTATAGTAAAAGTAATCAATTCTAAAAGAATCTTCAGGTGATCGTGTTTTTTCAATATTAGTATTCTCATCAAATTTTTTTTTCTTCGAATCATTCTTTTTTCACGAAATATAGGTTGTATTTCCATATCATTTTCAATTTCTTTAGCTGAAATCATAGCAGTTGTGAATCTATTTTCTCTATATTTTTCTAAAAATRAMATTAAACCTTTCAAGTGATCTAAAGCAATGTTAACATGCATATCTTTATGTTGTAAGACTTTGCTCACAGAATTTACAGCAAATGARATATCATACCRTATAGTCATGCCTAACCAGAATTCAAAATTTTCAAATTCATAAGAAGCTAAACAATTAGCTTCACTTTTTACTTTAGGATCTTCACTAGTTTCTCCTAATTTCAATAAAGCATCCCTTATTTGAGGGGCTTGAAATCTTATTGCTTTAACACTTTCAATTCGACTTTCTCATCGTGTTTRTGACAATGGTTTGATAGTCAAATTTGGTTATGTGATCTAGCAAGAGTTTCCATCGTTTTGTAGATGAAGAAAATAAAGAATAAATACGTTGCAGAATTCCAAAAAATGTCATAGCTATATGACATGAGCTAGCCACATCAAAAATACTAGATTGAGATTATGACAACCGCAAGGTGTATAAAATGCCCTAGGATTTATTTCTAATAATCTTTTTTGTACACCTTGTTGTTTTCCTTTCATATTAGATCTATTGTCATATCCTTGTCCTCTTATATTAGATATGTCAAGTTTAAGATCCTTAATTGCATTTATAAGCACATCAAATAAAACTTTTCCAGTAGTATCTTCAACTTTTAAAAATTCTAAAAAATATTSTTGTATAGTTATTGGACTTGTAGCAATATCAACGCACCTCAATACARGAGACATTTGTTCTTGATGACTTACATYAGGTGTGTAATCTAWTATAACTGAAAAATATTTTGATTCTTTAATTTTTCAATAACARTATTTTTTATTTCAAGTCCTAAAAGTTGTATGAGTTCATTTTGTATATTATGTCCAAGATAATGATAATGAATTTCATTATTTTGAATACGACAAACATGTTCGTGCATTATTGGATCAAATTCTGCAATCATTTTAATTCAGCTTAAAAAATTTCCTTTATTTTCTTGATAAATTTTTTTCATTACTTCCTYGAAACGCTAAATTATTTTTAGCAAGATTTTTAACAACAGCGATAATTCGTGTTAATACTTTATTCCAATGATATTTTTCTTTATTAATTAATATCTGAATATCTTTGTCAATTGTTTTATTTTTTAACAATCTAATTTTGAGATCAACCCAAGCATTCATATTAAATATGTGTTCATTACTAGATTAATGACTTTTAAGCCGAGAACTAAGAATTTTCCAATCTTTAACTCCTTCATTTCCTAATTRA